GGCACACATGACAAACACTTGCTTGCTGTGAAATCACTGAGCTGTTACTGCTCTGTTCTTATATTAGTGCCGTCAAATGTCATACAGATTTTATAGTAGAGAGCTGGCAGGTTAAAAAAAACCTTTGTGACAGATCTTAGCCGGGTACGATCTATGGATGTAGTAATAGCTTCAAGCAATATTTTCATGACTAAATATGAATTATCTCCATGATTTCTAATATTCAAATCAAAAACCTGCTTTTTCATCCCCTGAAAGTTCAAAACCCAAAGATATTTAGACTCATATAACACAAAGGAAATCAGCATTTTCTGACATTTAGGCATCTGTTGATAGACTAATCAGTCGAGTCACTGCAGGGTTGAACTTCAATCAAATCTAAAAGAGCAAAATGAATAAAGTTCAAATAAATAACAACATCAAGGCTTGGCTGAAGAGGTACCGAAGTTTGCAGGATTGACAGTTCAATATGAGAGAGGCCCGAGGGAACCAGATGATTCCAATTGGATGGATCGTGTACGTGTGTGCATGCGTGTGTGTGTGTGTGTGTGTGTGTGTGTGTGTGTGTGTGTGTGTGCGTACACAGTGCATGGCACTGGGACAATCCAGGGTGAAGTTGTGAGGCCGTATGATGAATGTTGCCCCCTAACCAGGACTGAAAGGGGACGATTAAACCCCGTCCACCAATCACCTCCCCTGGAGCTTGAAGGAAACCACCGGGGAAAGAGTCTCTGCTTTCAGCAGAGGACACACAAAGACAAACGCCTACTGTATGCACACACACATTTAAAAACTCCTGAGCCTTGTTGACTCAGAGTTGAATATTTGCACATATCAGCAAACCCAGTAAACTTGATATGATTTAGTTCAGAGTGTCTGGATTCTGTTTGAAGGTCCAAACTGATGCCTAAATGTAAATCGATGCATAACCTCAGCTTTTTTCTAATATGTGTCCAGAGATGGTGAAGAAAGGGGAAAATGTGCTGATACAGAAATGTTCTTCATCCACTGAAGAGTCTTCACCGAATTTCAATTAATGTTTGTGCGTTTAGTTGAATCCCACATTCAACACCTCGTAACGCCGCTTCTAAATATCTTTTTTGGAGGAACTGGCACACGGCTGCAAATGCACCGCTGTATCTGTGATGTCATCAAGGTTCCTCTGCGGTGATCAATCAGCCAAACACACACAGTAAAGTGCACACACACACACACACACACACACACAACAGCACCCCACAGGGGAAGTGACACGGCTCTGAAGGTCAGTGGCTACAAAACAGTCTGATTCCCAGAGGTTTTTGTGACTTTCAGACAGCCTGCTCTCTCTCCCACTTTCACTTTCAAAGCAGCTGCTTTTCATGCATGTTACACTCATGAGCCCTGAGTGACACCTGTCTGCAGGGATGAGGAGAACTCTTTCACGGTTTGGGTGAAATTTCCCAAACACACACACACACGAGAACACTGTGTCATCACAGCTGCTCAGTTTGTTTGCAGCCACACGTGTCTCTACAAAGTGTGATCCTAAATATCACGTTCATTTTCATTTCTGCCAGTCGTGATCACACCTCGGTCTCCTACAGCCCAACACGTCACTGTTTTCGACAAAAACTGATGAATATGCTGCGCATCACATGCAGCCGAACGCTCCAGCTCAACACTAACTTTCCATACAGCACAAAGCTGATAAAACCTGCGAGCTGCAGCCCAAAAAAGCAGACACGTCATCTTTTTCAGACCATTTAAGAAACAGCAACATATCCTCCAACGCAAGAAAAAGCTTTATTTGCCAAACCATAAATGCGAACAGCATCCGGGGAGTTGTAAACGGCGTCTGGTCGGTGTGTGCGGCTCCAAAGGTTAATGAGCTGTGTGCTCTGTCGGAGGAAAAGGAGACAACGATGCTCTTTACGGTACAGGAGGCGTTACTCGCCCAAGGGGCCGCCGCAACGACACCACTCAGATCTCATTATCAGGCGTATTGATTAGTCATGGCCGCCTGCCCCTCCACCCACACACACACAGACCCTAAATGACATTCACAGACAGAGAAGTAGAAATGATTGCACTTCCCTCGCACACAGAGGCACTGCAAGGGTCCCTTAAATCCTGCAAGGATATGTTTTATTTAACCGAGAGCATCAAGAATTTCCTGCTATATATATATATATATATATAACTTCTATATAACTTCTTAGCCTGCAGATTTTTTTTTTTGCATGTGTTAAAAGTGAACAAGTTTTGGGCACGAAATTTAAAAAGATAGGACAGAAACATTTATTCAGCTTCCCTGTCAGAGTCTAGTTAGGATGACACATATGGGCTCTTTAGCGCCAATCAAAGGTCCCCACTCCCACACACACATTTCAGCAAACACACCTAGGAAAATGACACACTCCACATTCATAATGTGCTCGCTCTCACCCACACAGCCACTCCACGGGGGACAAACACGCGCTCGAACATACACGGACGTTTTACAGCCCCTAATGTGAAGCTGTCATTTTGTTCCAAGAGAAAATTGCTTTAATTAAAATTAGCACAGCGGTAATAGGTGAGCTGTTGAAAGGCTTGAGCACTGCTCTGTGTCAGCCCACATGTTCCCAGCATCACGGATGAACCGTGTTTCCGTAACGCGGCCTTCCTGTGTTCTGGTGGCATCTGCACAGAAATCGCTGATATTAATCAGAGGATTTTTTAAAAAGTCATTAAGCCTCAGCTTTGCTTGGTTTATCACTCCTTTACAAACTGGCACATTTTCACATTTAGCCTTTTTGTTGGTTACATGTTTGCCAAGATGCAAAGAAATAAACTCTCAGGACCAGAAAAGAAATCCATCTCTAGATGGTAAAGTAACATATGCTGCCTCTTCGCCCCAACTTCCCACCTGCCATGACCTGCTCTCCTGTGGACGTGGGCATGGTGCCTGGCATCGGCAGCTCCTGGCAGCAGGTGGCTCCCCCACCTGGAAACCTGAAACTGGAAGAGCACGAGGATCAGACCGGCTTTGGTTAGGATAAGAACCTGAGGAAGGATTAGTGTGACCGAATGAAATGAAACCATCGTGGCTGAATCGTGCTGTTAAAATGCTTCAGGAAACAAAAGTGAGGCGTGATTTGTCTTCCTGTGGGAGGAATCCCGAGTCTTTAGTGAACTGCACTGACTGTGCTGTGTGTTCATCCTCCCCGGACGCTGCCGATGACTTTAAGGTACCAGAAAGAGCCTGAATCACTTTTGTACTGGAGCATGAAATTAAAAAATAAAGGACTCATGTGGCTATAAATTGATTTTTGCTTTCGATCTCAGTCAAGTAGTTTAAACAAAGTTTGGCACTTGATAACTTCCATACTCAGCTGAGCATTTCTATTGGTCCTTTAGCGGAAGCAGCAGAGAGGTTTGTGATTTGACAGGCGCACACAAACACCGACTTATTACTGATATTTATCAGTGTCCATACAAAGAATGACCTTCACACCCGCGTCGGTCTAAGCTGTGTTTGAACCATCAGGTCTTTGCTCTCATGTTCTCCTCGTGACACATTCAAGTCTTTCTTTACGACAAAGTTGTCTCGCGTATGAATCGTCTTTGTATTATTGTGCCGAGACCACATTTGTGATTGGCTGCTCGCCCTGCGGGAGGCCGGAGTGGGTGGGGAGCTTTAAGAGTCGCTGCCTGCCTTCAGTCGTGTCTCGGAGCAAAGCGACTCTCAGCAGCAGCAGCAGCAGAAGAAGGAGGAACAAGCGGAGGCGCAGGAGGAGGAGGAGAGCCGAGCACATCCTAAAGTTTGTAGCTGCAGCTGTCTGGATGCAGCGGACGCACGTACTGCGCACCTGAATCAGGTTGGTGTCGTATGACGGGCAGAGATCTGCGGGCACGCAGCTCTGTAATGACTGCGACTGAAAAACAGCAGGCAGGCAGCGATCATTTAAGTAATCACAGCTCAAGTGTTCAGCGGGGCGCCTTCGTAAGACTGCCGTGTGTCGTCGTGTCGCTCCAAGTTCAAAAGTCCGCAGACGATCCGTTTGCCATTTGTGGCAAAACTTTCTCTGCTCTGTCCTCCTGGAGCTCAGCCCCAGCCTGCCAAAGCACTATTAGCTGATCAGTGTTTCTGCCAGAGAGCAGCAGCAAATGCTCCTGTAGGTTTGGGAATAAATGGGGGTGAAGATCGAAGGGTCGGACGACCCAAACTGAAAACACAGACGCTGCTGCATCGTTCCCATCATCGTCTGATTGTTTCATCTGTTGGAAATGTTGTAAAAATGTTTATCAAGGCAGCGTAGTTTCTGCCGTTTTAAGAAGGTAACCTTAGATCAGTAACCACGTGACCTGCTCACCTGGATATGCTTGAAAAAAAAACATGCTATGGCCCGCTGTACCATGAAATTACTCTTGAAAGACAGAATTAATTCTCTGCTCATAGCCCTGTGCAGGCCACCTTCAGGAACTGAATTATCCTGCTGAAATGGGCTGTTGTTGCTGCTCTCTGAGTGCCCTGCAGGGCATCAGGTAGGACAATAAGATGGCACAGGTGCATACGTCCTACACAAATGGCAGAACTGGAGTCATTTCAACGTTGGTCAGAATAAAAATAGACGTTGGTTTCATCGTGAATTGAATTTGCTCGTATATTTGAAATCCATCTGCACACTGTGATCGGCTCTGTGCAGCTATCGTGCAGTTTGGGTTTTGGCCTGTCCTGCACCGTATCGTTAACTTATCAAAGTATAAATCTGTGTCAGCCATTGGATGCTCCACAGCCTCCTTGGCTTCTTCCATCCATATTGTCTCCTGTTACAGTGACAACTGCTGAATAATTTACCGTGCCTCGCTAACTGTAATCAGGAATCCAAGTTTGGGTATCTGATGGTGATTGCTGAGCAGAGAGGTTCAGTGCTTTGGAGACCAGTTGGAGCTTTCAGATTAAAATGTAAGTGATACCCCAAAAAGAGAGCTATTTAATTGTCTTGGCTTAAAATAGAACCAATAAAAAGACTCGCTCCGGTGTCTACACTGTGCTGGCGGCTGCATATCAGTGAGGCAAAGTACAGCTTCATCTGTCTAAAGTACAGACAGACATCGTGCTGTAATGCATAGTTACATATTTCATAAAAACGTTTTGTTTTTCTTAAATACTCCATTGGTATCTCGCTGCACTGCAGCTTTTAGACTTCTTCTGTGGTTTTGCTTGCACATTGACGAGCCAAGGCACCTTCATGCAAGGCAAACATGACAATCGAGAGCCATGGATTGCTTTCTCCTCCTGTATACAGACTAAATATGCAGGCAAACCGTAAGATTTTTACCTGGAAGAGTTGAGTTTGTACACAGCGTTCAGTTTGGATGAAGAGGAATTTACAGAAAAAGGAAGAAATTAATGTGAAGTAATGGTCTGTGGCTACTCTCAGCTTACCAGTTCAGATAAAAACACAGCGTAGTAACGCTGAGTGCCACAGTCATCGAGTAATGACATCGAGAGATGGAAAGAAAAGAGGGAACCCAGGTGGGTTTAAGCCCGTCTTCCTCGCCTGTCAGGATCGACAGCATGGAGCACGTTATGTCTCACTGTGTCACTGTCATTAGCTTTGGCATCATTTACTCTCTGTTGCTCACCAGGGTGGCTGCTTTATTACGTTGTTTGGCCCTCGTTTAAAATCGGCCGAATAAGGAGACAAAGTCGCTCGCGTGTCTTTGCTGCATGGTTTTAATTTCACTCCTGAAACGACTTCTTCGCGTGAACCTGAATCACCTGTATGTTACACTAAGCATGTACCTCATGTAGCACCACAGCCCAGTGAGCATAAACATCCCTTCTGCAGCAGGAAGGTAGAAATGACTTGTGTGTCAGAGGAGATGCAGCAAAGTCGCTGTAGGTCTTCAACGTTAACAAGTAAGAGTGACGTGGCTGGCTTCGATTCCTCGCTGAAGATCAGCCATCAAATATTCATCAAGCCCATAACTTATCAGCCTTCTGTATCTGACTCTGGGATTTATTTGCTCTGCTTCAGCTCGAAGCACTGACAGAAACTCCCCCACACGATTCTGTTAACTCCTCTGGGAAGAGAAAGGGAGACCAGTTCACTTACTGGAGTGACTCTGCCGATGGCTCATGATGCACGCTGTGCACAGAAGCTGTCCTTTCTTCTGCCCCAGGTATTTGGGAGGCTTAAGACCCCACACCCAGCTCCCTGTTAGCTCGGTAGTCAGATCAGGACAGCGTAGCGTCACTTCAGCAGATGTCCGAGGTTTTGCTTCGACTCTTCTTCTGTGCTGAGGACTCCGGCTCGGGGCTTCTTTTGTCTCTGGGGAGCAGAGCCGTGTGCACCCTGCTGGGCAAAGTTATTTCAGCTTCACAGTTTGAATCAGCACTTTGCTCACTAGTTAAAACTCCTCTCATTCTTTAAAGGCAGACCAGTTTGCTGAACATTTCACCCTGATATTCTACTCTCACGGCGTTGGGTGGGGGCCGCTAGTTTTTATTCCCTCGTTGACTGAAAAGCATTGTTTTACATCCGGACTCTGACTTTCAGGGTCATTTCCTTTTACTGTCCGGGAGAAAGCTTTTGCCTTTTTTCCTTCTTTATGCTGACTCTCAGCCCTTTTCCACCTTGGATCTGAGCAAGTGTCGTGTGGGCAGGGCATGTAAAATATATGGCCGTCACCCTGGGCCGGCTGACTGGCTGGCACAGGTTCTGTTCTGTCCCAGTGGGCTTGACAGAATGGCTGTGATGGGAGGAAAGTGCTGCCTTCTGGCTTTAAGAGTGCTGACATCTCCATACTGCTCCTCACATGCACTCGCACACCTTCCATCTCATCTGTTTGCTTCTCCCTTCTTTCACCTCCTTCAGATTTCTTACCTGCAGATGCCCCCCCCCCCCCTACACACCTCTGCTCTGTGTGAACTTGCAGACTTGAGTCACAGATATTCGCGCTGCCACCTTCCTGCTTTTTTTTCCTCATCATTTGTTGACCACTCCTCACTTCACCACCAGCTCTCTCTCTGAGGTCTTTCAAGGTGAGCTGCTGTATGTTCTTCGACTTCTCTCATCCTCTTATCCGTTCTCTAAATTAATAAAAAAATGTTTTAAGAAGCCCACTCACGAGCCTTTGTCCACCCACTGCTGATCTGCTCAAACTTGTGAACTGGTCTCCTTTCATCCTCATCATTGTGTGAATATTTCATGTCTGTGATTTGTGAATTAAACATAGGATCTAGGCAGATATGATTGGGCTGACATTTATTCACACTGACTGGTGGGACGGATGGGTTCGACCTGATTAGAGCTGCGGTGGTGAACAGGAGCGTCCTGTCAGCACACCTGCATCGGTGAGGTAGACGTGTTCTCAGGAGTCTCTTTGCTTTGAGTCGACCCCCAAAGGTCTCATAAATAGGAACGAATGACATTTATAGTTTAGAGAGTTACGACTTTGGTCCAATAAAATTCACTCTGTGAGTGTGTGCATTTAATCTTTCTGGGGGTTTTTTAGTAATACTTTTATAGCTGCTAATATTTTCTATGACATTTATTTTACAGTAACCTTATTTAGCAGTGGAGGAGGGCAATAAAACACTGAACACACCATGCAATGCTCTTAATATCCAATCAAAGGTCTTTTATGCTCTGAAATCATGGCCAAATATTTCAACTCTGTCTGTGTAACGCTTTCTATTAGCACACAAAAACACACCGGAAAGTTGGGAATATATTTTTAAGCTAATAAATCTCATGATTTTCCTATTGTTTTATTCCTTCCCTGTAGGACTGATATTTGACATTTCTTGAGCTGCGTTTTAATATTTAAATTGAATTAACTCCAGTGAAACAGTCCATAAAATACAAGGAGAGCTGCTTATCCCCACTAATCTGGAAAGTGGTGTGTATATATGTCCAGCTTTCAGAAACTAGTTGAAAACGGTGGCATTTACTAAGTGTTCACTTTTAAGGTGTTTTCCTCATGCATTAAAGGTGTTTATACATATATTGTACATCAACCATCTGTACAGTATGTCCCGTGTTACAAAGTAACTTATAAGGCCTTGCACGGCCTAGAATTTCTTTATTTTGTAGTTAATCCCATATATAGAAAAAATAAAAAACATTTACAGTGTAGCTCATTAGACTTCAGTCGCCTCCGTCACTCACTACAGCCCTCTCTGCTGAATCATACCTCTCATTAACCTCTGTCTCTCTTCCACAGCATGTCTTTATCCTGTCTTCCTTCTCTCACCCCAACCAATCACAGCAGATGGCCCCGCCCCTCCCTAAGCCTGGTTCTGACGGAGGTTTCTTCCTGTTAAAAGGGAGTTTTTCCTTCCCACTGTCGCCAAAGTGCTGCTCATAGGGGGTCATATGATTGTTGGGTTTTTCTCTCTATGTATTACTCTATGTATTATTGTAAGGTCGACCTTGCAGTATAAAGCACCTTGAGGCGACTGTTGTGGCGCTGGATAAATCAAATTGAATAGACTGTCTCGGTCTCTATAGATGATTTTCCTTTCCTCACTTTTCTATGGAGCATGTTTTGTTAAACTTGTGTTTTGCCTGATGACAACAGCAACAGGCTGCAGCCCCAACATGTCCCCGAGTAGGATAAGCAGTTAAGACAATGGATGGTTGGATGGATTGTAAGTTAGCAGGAATTGGACCTTTGAGTAATAAGTGTGTGTGAAGGTGGCTGTAGGTGCTAGCTGCTGCCCACCATCACTTCAGCTAATTCACATCACTGAACTTCAGCTCTCGATTGTGTTTTTTGGCGTTTGTCTCTGTTGCAGCATTTATAATTGGATTGTATCACAAATAATACAGCTTCTTGATTAGTTAACTGTAATGGCAACCCGTCC